TAGAAAAGGATTGAGTGATGTAAATATGTGGAATATACGTAACAAATTGTGTTAGATGTCTAACACGAACATAACAAGATATATTACACATGTTAAAAGAAGTACAACACATTTGTTACAAGTGTAACGAAAAATTATAACATTGTACACACACACACGAAGTGAGAGGAGGATCTAGGATCGAACTAAAAGTTGAGAGGAAATTACTTGAGGTGATTGACTAATTTTCTCTTCGATTTTATTATTAGTAGGATAAACATTATTTTTTATGTTCTCTACGCATTTCAAGTTGAGTGTAATGTGCCAAGGCGGAAACCTTTTCGCTAACGGGCTCAATTGGCCCAAAGAAAGAGTCCATTAGATTCACCATAGAATATTACTATTTGATGATCGCTGTTTAATTGGTCTTATCATTTCATGCCTTGTCAATTGCGACATCATGCGGGGATCCACCCCCAATTTCTATTTGTTTATAATTTAAACTTATTATGAAAACCTCCCGAACAAGCTCTAATTATGCTAAAATTCTTTTAATGGACTCTAATTATGCATTTTAAATATTACATTTTTAACTAATTTGAGAGACACTTGATATGTTGTAAGTTAAGAATGTGGAAAATATTTCTTGGGTTGTTGGGGCGTGCTATAAAGATCAGTTATATAAATCATGTGTCCATATAAATGAATTTTATTTGTTACATATGCCCTCAATTTCTATAAAACAATAGTACACAGATACATTTCAAACCCAGGTACCCCACTTAGCCCCTGTTTGGTACTGCTTAAAATCTATATTTTAATCTGATTCAAAGTCAACAATTAATTTTAACAACATATTTTATAAATCCCACAACTTTTCAACCACACATTTCATCTGCTTCTATCAAAATTTATTAAAAAACTAATTTTAATCACCACCAAATAGGGCTTACTCTCGTTACAGAATTAGACTAAAATTTAACAGTTAATTTTATCCATGTATTTTATGAGCTCTATAATTTTTCAATTACATATTTCATTAACTTTTAATAAAATTTTCTGAAAATTTTATTTTTATCTAAACCAAACACGTTAATTAGAAGCTTAGAACACGAAACTCTTGAAAACAAAGATAAATTCTTTTGTTTTGTTTATCAAAGACAAACTTTTACATAATTAAGGAAAAGTATCATAGAAACAAGAACACAAATGCAAGAAAGCTATGCATTAAAATTTGCAAGCAAGATTCAAGAGAAAAAAGGGATTTTCCACCTTAATCTTACCCTAGCTAGCCTATGATTCTTTCGCCAAGTATTCTTCGTCTTTTCGAGCCTTCCCCGGATCCATAACTTGAACGTAGTATTAGACTTTTCAGTGCATCTCTCAATAACACAACGGATTCATCAGTCTGATCTTTATCACTAGCCAATACTAGCACATTTCTGATTCTTCCTCCCAATGTTACAATTTCTGCCCTTAAAGGGCTCAATGGCAACGACTTTAATAAATCGATAAGGTCGGGTAAGAGATTGATCCGGTCTTCGCAGCAAAGAGAAGCCTTGATCAGAGATTTTCCATCAGCAGAATTATATTCATTTTGGATTACTGTGATTTCATCAGTCTCAGAAGGGAAAGTTTGATCGTACTGAGTTATTTCTGATGCCTGCTGCTTCAATTCCCTCACCCGTTCAACCACCTTTGCAAGAAGTGAAGCTTTATCCGTCTGCAATAATTCACGACAAAACGAATAATACATATTTCAATTACAGAAATTTTTTTTTTAAGTATAGTTGACAGAAATTCTTCAAGGTAAATATTAACTTTTATAAATGTTCTGTAACTATTAGAAGTACTTTATTTAGAACTATAACTATAAGAAGGAGAAATGACATGAAAAAATGCAGTGAAAAATGAAACGACTTTCCCAATTAACCTATGAATGATATGAACCCTAGTGATAAAGAATCAAAACTTTTTGATTCTTTATTTCTTTTTCAGGTCACCATCATCATAAGCATATTTTGAATTTTCAAAGGGCACCATGATATAATCTGAGTATGTAATAGAAAGGGCCGAGGGGGCGAAATGTTTCTGTCTTGACAACCATATCCTCTAAAAAAAGTATCTTTATGCTCAATCAAGAATTATAAAACATCAGATAAAAGATAAAATTTTTGTCGAAACTTGAAGTAAATCTTGTTTTTTTCCTACCCCAAAACAGTAGTGTGTGTGAGAGAAAGATTGAAGTCTTAAACTTACTTTAGAATTGCAAAGAAGAAGGGTCCTAAGCCTATCAAGATGATAGTTGATTCTCTCTCGACGTTTCCTCTCAGCTTCTTTATGATTCTCCGATGCAGTTAGAGCTCTTACTTCAGTTGGAGCATGCATAAATTCCGGCACCTCCATGGGGTAAAACGACGAACTACAGTAACTCTCCATCGACGGAAATCCGTAAATGAAACCATTTCCTTCAGGAACTTGATGAAAAGCTGAATTTTCCGGCGAATTGTCCGGTTGCATGGTGGGGGTGGATATGAAGTCAAGAGAAATCTTTCGGTAGTGGGGATTGGATGTTTAGGGTTTGGTGCGACTTTTTCTATTATTTCTTTCATTCCTTTTGGTCGTTTTCTTTGCTTTCATTATTAAGGTTTGTTTGGATTATGGTCACGCGTGTTTTACTTTATCTTATTTTTCATCATCTTGCTGCCAGAAAAGAACTTCACTTTTTTAACCTTCCCTTTTTGTTTTGTACAGGAAAACCTAACTTTTTTTCTTCCTTGCATGTTTGACTGAGCTTAAGAAGTTTACTTATAATTAATTAATTTACTTGTTTTAATGGTAATAGTGTGAGAGTTTAAATTCAATAATAAGTTGAAAGAGGTTGCTATTCTAATTGGGACCTCGTAAATTTTCGACTGAGGTCAAGCTAGTTTAAACTATTTAACCGTCTAAGCTCTTGTTTGTTTCTGATTATAATCTGATTTTAATTTTAAATCAAAGTCAACAATTACTTTTCACCACACGTTTCATGGGTTCACAACTTTTCAACTACGTATTTAATCGATTTTTATCAAAATTTACTAAAAATCTGATTTTAGTCTACAACAAACGAGGGGTAAATTACCAGTTAAGAAATTTCCTCTTTTTTCATTTTCTCATGTTATAAAATGATGCTTTTTTTATAAAGAGAAAAGGTCAAATGAATTAAACATGTAGCTATTTAAAATTTTTGTTCACACCTCCATGTTCTCTTGATTGCGTGACCAATCAAATTTTGACACGTTATTATAGAAAATTTCACAGCTTTAAAATCATAGTCACGACTAAACCTTTGAAAAAAGGTTCATTAAGTTATTGTTTGTTCTTTATTAGAATTAAATAAATATACATTTAAGGATCAAGATCTAAAAAGTTAGGGGTCTATTCTATTTGCTGTTTTCAAACCATTTTCAATTTTCGAAAATACTGAAAATACGTTTACTTACCTATTTTCATAAACGAATTTCCAAAAACAAGTTTAAAATTTACAAAGAAAACGGAAAACGCTAAAAAAGTCTTTTTGGCTGTTTTCAGTTAAAATTAAGTCAAAACTTCATTTTTTTAAATTTTGAAAACAATTTTTCAAAATGACAAAAATAACGTCTTTTCAACAATTTTAAAATGGACACTTAAAACACAAAATTCAAAACTCAAAATTTAAAACTAAAAACTGAAATACGAAGAGAACAACCCTTTAGTCTTTCGTGAAGTTCCTTACACTTTCAGATTTGATTTTTCGACACATAATTGTTAATTGTAATACCACATTGATGTTGAACCAATTATTCATTTAGAATAAAGCTAGTCATACGACTTTTATTGACAACTAGTTTGACAACCCATGTGTTGTCAAGATCTCGGCCATCAATTTCAAAAATAGTTTTTTAAATGAACGGATATGTTGTTTTACAAGTCACGAGCTGTAAAAGAAGTTGTAAACGAGATTGTACAAGTAGCACGACTCATTCATTTAACAAGTTACTCCGTTGAACCTTGCTACTTGTACAAAAGAATTTGTACAAAAATGTTGACAAACCCTCACATGTGGGAGGTCCACTTTTTATTTTCAATTTTTTATTCATGTGGGGCCGACAATCATGTGAGTGTTTGTCAACATTTTTGTCAAATTCTTTTTGTACAAACAGGGGCGGACCCAGCACCTGGCCAGCCCCCGCGGCCGCCCGTGCTGGGTCCGTCGAGAGCTTGAAGTTCCGCCGGGAAGAAATGAAGAAAGCAGCCG